ATTAAAATTGTCCAACAGGGTAATGTCACGTGGCAACTTATAAACTAAGGTGTAAGCCATAGTGCACATATAGCATGTTCCTTACCAATTGAACTTTGCTATTTGTACACTGATTTTCGGTACATTGTTTGACACTTCCATTGTTGTCAAGTGTCAATTGGAAGGGAAAATAGTTTGAACTTTAAACTGTCCAACAGGGTAATGTCACGTGGTAAAGTGTAAACTAAATGTACACCATAGTGTACATGTAGCAAAGTTCTTACTTATTGAACTTTGCTATTTATACACTAATTTTCGACACGTTGTTTGACACTTGCATTGTTGTCTAGTGTCAATTGGATGGGAAAAATGCTTGAAATTTAAGCTACCCATAGGACAATGTCACGTGGAAAAATGTAAACTAAAGTGTACACCATAGTGTACATTTAGCAAGGTTCATATTCATTGAACTTTGTTATTTGTACACTGATTTTGGACACGTTGTTTGATACTTACATTGCAGTCAATTGTCAATTGGATGGGAAAACTGTTCGAAATTCAAATTGTCTAATAGTGTAATGTCACGAGGCAAAGTGTAATTTAAAGTGTACACCATAGTGTACATGTAGGAAGGTCCATACCGATCGAACTTTACTATTTGTACATTGATTTTTGATACATTGTTTGACACTTGCATTATTGTCAAGTGTCAATGGGATGGGAAAACTGTTTGAAATTTAAACTGTCCAACAGGGTAATGACACGTGGCAAAGTGTAAACTAAATTGTACACCATAGTGTACATGTAGTAAGGTTCTTACCGATTGAACTTTAATATTTGTAGACTGATTTTTGATACGTTGTTTGACAATTGCATTGTTGTCAAGTGTCAATTGCATGTGAAAACTGTTATAAATTTAAACTATCCAGCAGGGTAATGTCACTTGGCAAAGTGTAAACTAAAGTGTATACACCATAGTGTACATGTTGCAAGGTTCTTACCGATTGAACTTTATTATTTTTAGAATGATTTTTGACACGTTATTTCACAATCGCATTGTTGTCAAGTGTCAATTGCATGTGAAAACCTTTATAAATTTAAACTGTCCAGCAAGGTAATGTCACATGGCAAAGTGTTAACTAAAGTGTATACACCATAGTGTACATGTTGCAAGGTTCTTACCGATTGAACTTTACTATTTGTAGATTTATTTTTGACATGTTGTTTGACAATTGCATTGTTGTCAAGTGTCAATTGCATGTGAAAACCGTTATAAATGTAAACTGTCCAGCAGGGTAATGTCACGTGACAAAGTGTAAACTAAAGTGTATACACCACAGTGTACATGTTGCAAGGTTCTTACCGATTGAACTTTACTTTTTGTACATTGATTTTTGACACGTTGTTCGACACTTGTATTGTTCTCAAGTATCAATTGGATGGAAAAAACTGTTTGAAATTTAAACTGTCCAACAGGGTAATGTCACGTGGCAAAGTGTAAACTAATGTGTGTACACCATAGTGTACATGTAGCAAGGTTCTTACCAATTGAACTTTGCTATTTATACACTAATTTTTGACACGTTGTTTGACACTTGCATTTTTGTCAATTTTCAATTGGATGGAAAAACTGTTTGAAATTTATACTGTCCAACAGGGTAATGTCACATGGCAAAGTGTAAACCAAAGTGTACGCTATAGTGTACATGTAACAAGGTCCTTACCGATTGAAATTTTCTATTTGTACACTAATTTTTGACTCGTTGTTTGACACTTGCATTGTTGTAAAGTGTCAATGGGTGGAAAAACAATTTGAAATTCAAACTGTCCAACAGGGTAATGTCACGTGGCAAAGTATAAACTAAAGTGTACACCATAGTGTACATGTAGCAAGGTTCCTACCTATTGAAGTTTGCTATTTGTACACTGATTTTTAACACGTTGTTTGACACTTGCATTGTTGTCAAGGTTTGTAATGCCCCGACCCGCATGGACGGAAGCGTCACTCAACCATTGTACGTTAGCCGTAAAGTTTGTTCAATATATTTTTAGTAGAAGGTATAAAGATTAACTTTTAGAATTTAATTAAAGAACTTTCTTTTTTTTATTTAAACAATAATCCAATTCTAAAAGAAAACAATTTCAAAAAAAAAACTATTTTTAGAATGGGTTCCATGCATGTAATGACTATTGACGTGAAATTTTGGCAAAACTTAAAAAGTAATGTTGCTGTTCCATTTTTTTTTTTTTGGTCTCAAACTGTAATTGTCAAAATAAATTTGTTTTCATAGCTATCGACATTGAAACTTCATCAAATTTTAAAGTAAGGTAGTAAATTCCTTATAATATGACATAGTAAAAAACTAGCTTCCATTGACATCATATGGGGTATTAAAATATTTTTCAAAACACAGCAGTGACCCGGTTGAAAGGTAAACCGGTGCAGTTCACTTAAAATGGCATATAAAATTCCATTAATGTTGAAACTACATGATTTCAAATTTATTCAGTATTTAATCCATGATACTATCAAATCCAATTGGTTTCATCAAAAATTTCCAAGTAACGAGTGAGTTATGAATTTTTGAAAACAAGGGTAGAAGCTGGAAAACAGAGACAGCACCCAGTACAGTTTACTTTATGTGACATATAACCTTTTACCGATATTGGATTAACATGATTCCAATTTTATTCAGTATCTAACTTATTAGATTATCCAATCCAATTGGTTTCGTATAAAATTACCAAGTAACAAAAGAGTTATGATTTTTTTAAAGATGAAGCAGAAACTGAAATGTCTGAAGAGACATCAAAAGTTTAAGTCGCTAACTTTTTTTGTATACGGTGATTGGTAAATTTATTCCTATGACGGATATCTACTTTCAAACATAGTTTATTCATAATGAGTGTTCGTAAAAATGATCCACACAATATTCATAGGAATCGAATTTAAAGAAAGTGTAAACATCTCAAAATCAACTAATGATGTAAATCACCGGCTTCTCCATGACATGTTATATCATCCTTTACCATCATCTACGCCCCAAGAAAAATCCATTCAACCTGTAGAGAGGGAATTAACCCATGAGTTTGAAACTCAAAAGATATCATCGGTGCAATTCGTTATCAAATTAGAAATTTCGAACTATAGATTCATGCCATCGCACGTAGATGGATTTCCAGCAAAATCCAATTACTATAGCATTATCATAACACGTAGAACAGGATAATGATCATTCAAACTATTGTAGTGCCGAAGCACCATGCCCAAAGGTACCATTTCATTTAAACATCTATCGAAAAATTAGATTTGAAAACGAATGAACACTTGCACCTCTACCTACCTTGAATTTTTCTTGGATAAAAGAACAAAATGTATAGAAAGCCTTCCTTCTTCTCACCCTTGTTATTCCTTAAGCTTAACTTGATATGAAATATATTTTTTTGAGAGAAAATGATGTGATCCGGCTTGCGCCTCGAATTATGAAATATTCGATATACGTTGGCGAGAGATCGAAACCAATATTTAAGCTCAATTTGGGGCCAAAAGGAGTTAATAAAGATGGAAAAAAGAAGCTCAAACTGGTGAATTTAATTACACATATTTTACTATGAAATTAGAGAGTTAAAAGGGCTTGAAATTGGAATCATTTCAAGGCTGGGAATAGGAGACAAAATATGGTGGATCAGTTGTGTTAGCCAATGGAAGAGGAAGCAAAGGCAAGCTGGAACACGTGAACTCAAAACTGGTCAGATTGTCTGCAAACTATGGGACCGCAACTCGTAAATCCTATGCGATCGCAAATACAGTCCCAGGGAATTTAGTGGTCGGAACCTACGTAACTATGCGATCGCAAGGCAGTGAAACAAGGCAGCATCCCAGATTTTTAAGCGCAAGTTACCAATTTTGAGTGAAACTCTATCTTCAGCCGGTGCATTAGGATCCGTTAGTTATTGTTTCCTTTTAGAATAATATATCTTTAATAATTTATGCTATTTAAAATTGCTATTTTCCTTTTTATTAGTTTTTAGGGTTTTAGTATAAATAGGATTATTTCATTGTATTTGGAATAAGTTTGATTATAAATTAATGAGAGATTTTCCTCTTCGAAGCTTTGCTTCAAATTTATCTTGTTCATTAAATTAAATGGGGCGAACTTATCAAGACTAATCATCTTATGGCGTTCAAAACATCGAATTGAATCACTGAATTGTGTAATCAAGGGGTCTTTCGCATCAACGTTACCGTTGGGTTTTTTGGTTCATCTTTTATTAGTTCAAATCCACAATCCAGGTGTGATTTCTTCAATTGTGTGATCAAGAGGTCTTTCAAACAACGTTCTTGTTGGGTTGCTTGGTTCACTATTTTGGGGACAGATCCAAGAACCTTGGTCATATTGGCGTTCTTGGGATCCAATTCAATATCTTGTGGCTTCGATTGCAACCTTGCCGGATCAAAGCTTTGGCTCCAAATTAATTGAAGGTTATATCTTTTCGTTACTTGTTAAGTCCTTTCTTGTTTTCTTCATTTTTTTCCAATTTCTATTGTCGTTCCTCGTGTCGTTTGAGTCATTCTTATGTTGTTAAATTATCGTCAATTTCAATTTATTGAGTTGTTGGTAGTTTAATCGTATTTCTTTACAAAAGGGCCAAAAAAAAAATCAAAAGTTGTTTTTGGATTCAATTTGTGTCCAAATCCACTTCCGTTTGTTGCGTCAGTTTTTGTTACACCCCCAAATTAACATTGATATCTATACACAACCTAGATATAGAATTTTACATATATATTTTTTTTGAGTTTGTTAACTTCTAATCACCTGTGACACGATCATATAACATATCGAAATCCAAAATCATATCGCTATAATCCAACATATATATTCTGAGCTTATAAACATGTCTATAGGCCATTTCAAAAGTACACTATATAGGATTCCAAAATATAACCCTACAGATGGCAGCCTACAAAATAACCCTACAGGTCGTCATCCATGTACATCGAACTCTGGAATCCTGTAGGAGCTCCACAGCTAGCCATGCTCTCTATGTAGTTCCATGTTCACCTACAATGCAAGAACTACATAAGCCAATGCTTAGTAAACAAAATCATGCATGTCCTGAACATGAGTAATAACGACATATGACACCATGCCATTTACTTTAAATATCACGATAAAAATATCATATTTCAATATTCGTCAAAGTCGACTAGAAATCATTTCACTTGAAATCTTTCATTTCATTGGGCCCTTGACCCACCTACTATGCACCGGATAGAGCTCTGCATAATATCAATATCAATAATCAAATG